CCGCGCCGTGAAGCTACACTGAACCATTGTTTTAAGACGCATAAGTTTCACTGTTCATCCGTTCAACAAGAGTCATAAACGAATGGATAAAACAGAAAAAAGTCTCAACAAGCTACAAGGTAAGTAGTCACGTAAAATGATATATGGGACAGAAAGACAAACAAGGTATAAAAATATCAAGTAGCGCAACCTAATCAAGCTTAGAAAGCCCTGACTATCCCTATGTTAATTGCGGCGATATCAACAAACCACCACAAACAATAAAGCCGGCAAAACGACGGCGTTGTCAAGACAAACCCGCAACAAACCGTGAACAACAGAAAACGTGAGTAAGAGATGAAGATCAGTTACGACATCATTCCGAAGTACCAGTGTCAGCACATCAATTTTCGCTTATTACGTTCGAACTGGTAGTCATTGCACAAAGTATGTTTCGCTTGCAAAATATGAAATTACAGTAAAGACAAAAAATCTGACTTAAGCTTAAAAACAGATCCGGGTCAAGGCAACAATCGATTCATTTAATCAACTTTCATTTGTGATATGCTATGAAAACTTTGAACGCTGGCAGAAATTCGTATTCCTAAATGACAGAATATCTTGAATAGTGTATGTAAATTTCATGAAGAAGTCGAATAAGACAAAGGAAATGAAGCAAGAAAATACGTAAAATCAGGCTGGATCAGAAAACAGTCATTATCATACTGTGCTGACTATTCAACGTGAGTTTGATAAAATGATAATGATGAAAAATCATAGTGTTAAATGGGGGTTGGCAATAGTCCTACAGGTCAAAGCTAAGGAGAAGAAGATTACAAAAGCGTCAGTTGCAATCGTCAACCCGAAGATACAATGGCATGGTATTACGATCGACGAGGTGGATCATCTCCAATATTACGGAACCTAGCGATGGTGACAATCATCCTATAGTTATCCGGCTTATGTGACTAGCATCAGCGAAATATAAGCATGCAAGCTGCATGACAAATAGAAAGATCGAACTATAAGAACGGATATGAAGATCACCATGTTGAAGACAGTCGCTTTTACGGTGCACAGCCTTGAAAAATCTCCTGCCCTGAAGCTCGTCCGGACAGCTTCTAACAGTTCTTCGTGAGAATCCAAAAAGTTGGATATTACAATGGCTCACAAATGTGCAAGTACTGACGACGACTGATTTGAGAAAACGACGAGCTGAAATTAAAGACTGGCGTCGTGTTAAAAAAACGGCCTAAAAAGAATGACAGTACAATAAACTGTCGACAAATCAGAGGTCAATAATCCGGAGAGCGGAAAATCCGGCTCGCTAAACCAGGAAAAAAATTTCCGGCAGAGCGAAAATCGCAACGTGATTTACAGTGAACGCATTCGCATCTTCCCTTACTCCCCCGTTTGCATTTTGATTCAACCACCTAAAGTAGCAAAGAGTGAGTGGAATGCGGGAGGGGCGAAGTGACACACTGGGCAATAACTTCTTCCAATGACAGGAGGGGGTAACGTCGGTGAAGGTGAGACTGCCAGTGCAATTAAGTTCAGTTATGTGAACAGAGTTGAGGATTTTTTGGGTGCTATTCTGATCGTGGCATGAAGAAACAAGTTTTAAACAATCGATAAAAAAATAGAAATTTTAGAGAAAATGTCAAAAGATAAAAATGGCGTATCTCGGGCAAGAATGTATATAGTAAGGACATCAATCATAAGTGATCTGAAAAGAAGACAGCTTACTGGAGTATGCATCAAGAATGGACGCTCAGCAAGGATAAAAAAAGTAAAACATTTCGAACGGAATGGCAAATAAATCAGCTTTAGAAGATGCCATGTATGTCTGGTTTACATAAAGAAGTTTAGGTGAACCGTTATCAGGTCCTCCATTTTGTAAAAAGCTCCTCCAATTCAAGGAAAAACTGAGCGCTCAGCGGATTTCAAGGCTAGTGCCGGCTGGCTAAAAAATTAAACTAAGTCACAGCAAAAGAGAAATCGAAATTCATGGGGAAAATTATCAAGTGATTTAAATGCTGCTGAGACATTCAAACAAAAGGTTTCTAGCTATGATTAGAGAAAAAGGATACAGCAAAGACGACGTATACAACGATGATGAAACTTGTGCAAACTGCCGGGCATTACCACGAAAGTCACTAGCTTCTGGTCGAAAGCAGTCAGCTCCAGGTTACAAAGTGAGTAACGGGAGAACTGCGATTGGTGTGTAGTAATGCAAGTGGAGCCCATTCTTTGCCTTTAATATTATTGGAAAGAGTAAAAAATCCCGATGCTTCAAAAATGTTAAGTGTCTGCTTGTGTATTATAAATCGCAAATCGCAAAGTTCCTGGATGACTCGTAATATTTTCAGGGACCGATATGTGAATGAATTTGTAACAGGCGTAAAGAAACACCGAGAGATGGAAGGCAAAACGGGAAAGTGCTTATGATCATTGACAACGCTTTGACACATCCTCCGGTTGAAACTCTGAACGCCACTGACGACGATCTTGAGGAACAATTCCTGCCTCCCAGCGTAACAGTATTACTCCACTCCTTGGACCAAGCAGTTATTGAGAAAATAAAGTAAATGTTCAAAAAAAGCCTTTAGCGCCGCCTGCTGCTGGCACAACAGGATGAAGAAGTTTTGTGGCACTCGCGAAACCACAAGAACTGTGTTGACATGCTTGCAGGACCCTGGCTTAGCCTGACGCAAAGAAATTTGGAAATGGATGGAGAAAACTGTGGCCTAAAGAAGAGCAAGGGCAAGAAAATCAACT